AGAGTTGGTTGTTGGTGATTCTCCGATTTTTCGGGCGCTCTGAGCCGAGGATGAGCCGCGCAGTTCGCCGGGCTAATCTGGCTACCAGCACCTTCTGCGGTTTCTCACTCGCTCATAACATGCCGTCATGCGCGCAACAACCCCGCTTGATTACACGCCCTGTTTTGTGCTGGTGGACATTTCGAATCAAATCCTTGTAAAATTCCGATCTCTGCACACCCGCCAGCGCTTCCCAAATCGCCAGCGACCGTGCCACGCCCTACGCTGAGCCCACCCTGGCACCCCGCCGATGTGGCACCCCGCCCGTGTGGCACCCCGTCCGTGTGGCACCCCGCCCGTGTGGCACCCCGTCCGTGTGGCACCCCGTCCGTGTGGCACCCCGCCCGTGTGGCACCCGCCCGTTGTGTGGCACCCCGCCCGTGTGGGCCACCCCGCCCGTGTGGCACCCCGTTCCGTGTGGCCACCCCGTCCGTGTGGCACCCCGTTCCGTGTGGCACCTCGCCCGTGTGGCAACCCCGTCCGGTGGCACCCCGTCCGTGTGGCACCCCGCCCGTGTGGCACCCCGTCCGTGTGGCACCCCGTCCGTGTGGCACCCCGTCCGTGTGGCACCTCGCCCGTGCAGACCCGATGTCGCCGTTGGTTGGCGGCGGCGGAACGTCAGGACGGGACCACGTGCCCCTGTCGGCTGTCCATCGCTGCCACGGGGTGCCCCCCCCCCCCCCCCCACCTCCTCCCTCCTGTCACGCTAGCTGATCGGCGACGCGTGGCTGCCACCATTCCGGTCGGAGTTGCATACGACACGGGCGACACGCAACATGGTGCCTCTAACTGACCTCACCCTATGGGGAATGTTTGATGCGATCGGACGGTGCTCCTTATAGGGAATGTTCCACCTTTATATGGGGGTTCGAACTGAAATAGCCATCTTGAGGACCTTTTGATGCAGTTTACGGCCATGCCCTTTCTAAGACCCGAATCCCTCTAGTTCCTGAGTAATACGCCCGCAAAAGGGTGAAAAGACTAATTAGGAGACTGATTTAAAGCACTCTGGCATTGATGTCTTCTTAGAAACGTCATACGCTTGCCGTTATACTTCAGGCTGCTTTTTGCTTATGGTCAAAACAGCATGGCCGCAGACAAACTCTCGCGAGAGCGATAATCCGGCACGTATGATACAATCCGCGGAAGGTGATTGGCTGTTAGTAACATTTCGCTGCTGAATGGGTGTCGAGAACGTAAACGTGAGCACTTTCGGGTTGTACGGCACTCGTCGCCAACGGGACATTTTTCCTTATTTCTATACCATAGGTCATTGTTATAAAAAGAGAGCATCACTGTCTGCCAAAAAGGACACCAACGAAACAAAACAACACTCTCCGGAATGTTTTAAAAAATAAGACGCGACGGCAAATCTGCCTTTTTCTCCCGCTGGCGTTTTTTTCTTCCTCTGCCGACGTATTACTTACAGCAGTTCGGCTGGCGCCTCGTGTACCGGAGCAAAGAACCTTGCACGGGTTTATGGGCTAGCAAGGTATTATGAAATTAAGGAAATATTGCAGTAATTTTATATATATTTTACTAAATATTTAAAAAATAATGTGGGACATCTTTAAACCTTGAACGAAGAAATTGTGTCCCACAAATGCAAACTCTTGAGTTGCATTATCATGAGCCCCCGCTGGGACTTTGTTTTGAACGGAGCTCACGGTGAAATGTGGTGCTATAACCAAAAACCTGTGCGGAAATTGCAAAAAAAAAACTGCAATTTGATAGTCCCGCGGGTTGCGCAAGAGTGGGATCACACTTATTTGACATAAGAGTGTGAATTAAGCGCTTGAAATGGGCGTGATCACTGGCAGTGCGTGCCAGTGGCTTGTATTGATCTTGATGTTATGGGGAGTGTGCGCGTGAGGTTTGTACGTCTGAGAGAGAACATTGTTTTTGGTATTCTTCAAATGTACTGACTCCCAATAAAATGCGATATGTTGATATATGTTTATATCTTTAGATTTGCGCTCGAACATGACAAGGTAGCGATGTCGGCAAACCGAAAGAAACACAGGCACCAATGTTGCAGGGGTTTTCAAAAGGAATTCGCTACTTCATTATGGTCTTGACAACATTTTCAACCTAGTGAGGTATTACAGCATGTAATTTATCCATTGTATGTCGTTATATTAGTTATTCATTTCGACAGTAGGGGCAGGTCTGTGCAGCTCATTAATGCACATGTTTGGTATAGGCTTGCATGATATGGATCTGTAAAATTGTCTTTCCCTAAATAATTTAGAAATATAGTGCTGCATAACTATAGATGAACATACCACTGTTTTAACAAATTTTGTATGCAGGCAAGCATTGCTTGTGATTCATCATTGTCATAGTCACTGCAACTTGTATGAGATTCTCGGTGCTGGGAAAGGTGGAAAAGTATTGCCGTTGGTTTTTAAAGCACTTAATAATATTGTTATCATCATCCTTGTGTGCACTGGCAGCTTGACCCTTCCCTGCATTTTGCCCTTCTAACCATGGCTACATGCACTTGTCTTGTCTCCAGTCTTGTGCAAGGTCAGCAGGTTTACAGTTTCATTGTGATATTGTCTTGTTATACATGCGTTATGACTTCTGTGAACAATATTTTTGAGTGAAGCAGCCTGATGGCCGCAGCATGTTAGATGGCTGTGGAATCAGAAGACACGTTTGCATCTTTGTCACCTATGTTTTGTGGACTCTCAAAATAGGCTGAGCAAGTGACGTCACTTGTTGGTTGTGTGCTTTGCTGAAAGAAATTTGTATATTGCATCATGTGTTTTTGGTCAGTCATACGTCAGATGTGGAGTTAATACAAAAATGCATGATTGGCCCATCTTTTCATCATGGAATTTAATTTGGAAGCGGCAGGGATTACAGCACAAAAACCGTATCATTATGCATTATGCCATGCCACAGTACAGCACTGATGTAGCGCTACGATGACACCGTTGACCCGTGTCATTACACCATGTACCACATTAGTTGACTACTCCATGTCAAGCCTATGATATAACAGCTTACAAGTTATGCACGGCGTAACAACTGGTTTAGCAACGCCAAAAGACTATCACCGGCGAGAATGCTGTTGCACCACAATGGTCATATCAGGGTTAACTAGTAATTGCAAAAATAATCCTAAGCAAGGAACACATTATTGGTAGCTCAGTCTTACCATCTTTATCATGGAAAAGGCAGTGCTTTGGCAATCAGTTCATAGCAATGGTACATATTTATTTATTTTTGCATGCAACTGCATTTTCAGTCACAAATAATAAAGAGACTAACTACTGTGCACATCACATAATATCAATGTCAGGACTACAGCACCGTAGGCAATGGTAAGTCGGCAGTGCAGTATTGATATCTTCAACAGTCCTTAGCAGGTTTCGGTAAGGGATTCATGACGCTATCTGACGGTCTTCACAGCATAGCGTGCTTTGATGTTAATAATCTGCCATAAAGACTGGCGATCGCTACGTTGCGTATGTCAAACAGCTCACCAAAGTTCCTGTCACGATCAGTACCAAGACAAAAAAATCTACGAACAAGCCATTCACTAACCCGCCACCCAACACAGCGCCTGCGACGAGAATGGCTGGTTGTCGTCAGTTTTCGTGTGTTTCGAGGTATTCTTTATGTCTGGCTGCCAGATGCTGCCAGGTATAACTGTCGCCACAAAACCATTCCATGACGCCATCAAACAGTGACGTAATGTGGCGCATTTTTATAAACTTTAAAATGTTGGTACTTAGGGTCGTTTTTGAACCTTGAAAGCTTACCAATAGTTAAAAGTTAGCCTTTCCCATCATATCTGATGCTTGTACCAAAATCTTCAAATGTGGAGCGTTCCCTTTCTTTCAATTCAGTCAGTCCCTTTAAGATTACGCATAAACATTGGGGCATGCAGGAATGCCTTCAAGTTCTTTATGAAAACCAACTTTTCGATACTGCTAAGCCACGTACCGCGTATTGGTAAGGTAGCCGGGGTCTTAGCCGCTGTATTGGTGGGATAGCCGGGGTCTTAGCTGCTGTATTGGTGGAAAAGCCGCTGTATTGGTGGGATAGCCGCTCTAGTTGCCTGTTTTCGAGAGCAGTGCAATTACGGTATGCGTTGTAGAGCAGGCCGTCGTTCCGTGTCTGCAGGAGACCACCTTTCACCGCGGCCATCCTGACAGGGCTGCTTTTGGTACAGCACGGGCGGTTGTTATTGCGGCTTTCATTGCGCGAGAGCAGTCTTAAAAACGACATCGTAACAGATAACCAGATTATCACGCTAGATGGATAGCAACCGTCATAAAGGCACTGCGATGGCGGCATTGGATAGATTCGGGGAGCCGCCATCCTGGGTGTGTCGTCGGCGAGGGCTGGCCACCCCAAGCTGATGTTTTGGCGGTGGGCGTCAGTCGCGGTGGGTCGGTAAACAACACTGAATGACGCGGTGGCGTGCCGACCAAGTTTGGATCGTTCGTCAGCGGCGGGTGGCGTTTCGCGTTGCTGTTTGACTCGTTGTGACGTGAAATTTCACGCGGTAAATTACACGAAGCAGGGAACATCAATCCAGGAGGAAATGAGGGAACACCAATCCAAGAGTGAGTGAGGGAACAATCCCATGCTGTTCGGTTTACACGTTGCAGTTCTATTTGAACCTGCTTCAGCCTGGGCAATTCATTATTTATAGAGCAGAACCAACGCGAACCAACTATTTATAGAGCGAACCAATATATATATATATATATATATATATATATATATATATATATATATATATATATATATATATATATATATATATATATGTATATATATATATATATGCATGTGTGTGTGTGTGTGCGTGTGTGTGTGTGTGTGTGTGTGTGGGTGTGTGTGGTGTGTGTGTGTGTGTGTGTGTGTGTGCGTGTGTGCGTGCGTGCATGCATGCGTGCGTGTATGAGTGCGCATGTAGCTGTTATATTTAAATATTCAAAATGACTGGTGAGCTGCAATAGTTATGGCACCGCCTTAAGCATTTGGATTATGTCAAGTTGTCCTTGTCAGCTTTTGTCTTCCATGACATTACGCAATGTTTGTGGCCACTTCTCGAATGTGCAGCAAATGTAAGACCGTGCGTTACGAACAGCTGGTATTTAAATTTCACGTTGCTTTGTCTTGAAGATAAATGCATCCACCAACGCGTGATCTAGCCGATTTTGTCTTGTAACGCGGCTTCCTCCGTTCCCAGACCCCAGCGCTGCGAATCGAGACGAAGCCGAGGACGACGACGCGGCCGTGGTGTGCGGCGCTCCCTCCCGCGCCCGCCCGCCGCCTCCTGTGCCTCGCCTCGAGCTGCCGACAGGTGGCGTCCCCAGCGCGGGCTCGGGCCGACGCGTCACCTCGGCGCGGCCGAAGCCGACGGGCCGCCACCTGGCGGCGTCCGGCCGGGTGCAGTGCGGCTCCCGGTCAGCGCGTGCCGGGCCGCCGCGGCCGGCGGCGCGCCGCAGCCCGCGCCGCAGTCCGCGCCCCGCCGGCGGCGCGCACTCGCATAGCAGCCGGCGCTGTCTGAGCGCGCTGGGCAGCCGGCTCAACATCGAGCTGCTGCCCAGCCGGTACACGCCGGTCGCGTCCAGCGGCTCCACCCAGAGCCTACTAACCAGGGACCACCTTGGCGCCGCGGCGGCCGCCGTCGACGCCGTGACCTCGCCGCCCGCGGTCGGCGAGGTCAGCGACCCCGAGGAGGGCGCGCCGCTGACACTGGCGGAGATCAGACGCGCCGCTCAGACGTCGGCCATTAGTCAGGCCATCACCAGCGCCACCTGTCAGCCGCTGCACGTGCAGACGGTGCAGACGGTGCAGACGCCCGGCCACGGTCACATGTCACTGCTCGAGCAGAAGAAGGTGCAGTGGACGCATGAGAGAGGTGAGACGCCTGGCTGTAGGACAGCTGTACGGGGGGGGGGGGGGGGGGAGGGAGCGGTGGCAACAGAGGCTCATGGGTCGTGCGCCATTACTTGGACCAAAATTTAGCATAAGTCCTCAGCGATCTGGTGTGAAGTAAGGGTCAGACGTCCTGATGCCACTTGCAAGGAGGAAGTATAATGCCCACACTGAGATAGCTCTAAAGCTGTCCGCAAAGCTGTTAGCTTCTCACTGCCTGTCCCGAAAAGAGAATTTCACAACATTAGAAGTGTGTGTTTCTGTGCCACTATACAAAAGCCAGTGCACGCTGGCCAAAATGTCTGTCCCAGGTGGCTCACGAGGTTTATGCATCTGTACACTTCCCACGTAGAGAGACGGTGTCAACGTGCACACGACTGTGCACAGGAGAGCTCTCAGATAGGCCCGCTTGGTGTGTGCAGACATGCTGATGTGAGCCGCTCAGGAGTAAAACAGACGTCATGGCTAGATCAGATGTGTGTTGCACAATTTACCACAGTTCTGCTGGTATGCACAATACTGACATTGACGTATAGATACTGACATACCCGATGGGGATGGTAGCCCCAACAGCTATAGATGTATAGATACTGACATACCAGATGGGGATGGTAGCCCCAACGCAACACCAACACCTCGTCTCAATCGTTCGTAAAACTGCTACCCCAACCAGCAGCAGCAAAACCTGTGAAGATAGGGGGCGTGATTGTTTTGCTTGCTTCTTTCCGTACACTACGATGAGGCCAATGTTAAATGCTACCCAGAGTGGGGTACACTTGCCCCCGCCCCCTAATTAACCACTTCTAATTCAAGCTCTCGTATGCTTCATGGGTCAAGGGCTCCAAATAGGTTCTGTTGTTACTCCCTTTGTCATGCTCATCTATTATTAACATTTTCTTTATAAACATAAACCGATGCAAGAAAAAAGCGTTTTTCCCAGAACTTTGTTTTGTATCTAGAGAGTAGTTCAACATTTTGTGTCATAGTGGTACCTTCTTTTTGGGACAAAACTCCCGACCAAAACATTACTAGTTTCTGGCCCTCATTAGTCACGGCAACTCCGGGATACAGAAATAGTTATCTGGCAATGTTTTGTTCCCAGGCCGCAACGGCATGGCTCGGTGAACTAGATTAGCTGCGAGAACGGTAGTATTAATCAGAGCCAGTTCTGTTATACGAACTGCATATGAGTAATCAGTCATGGACATTGTGGAAGTGCGTGCGCGTTCGCAGTATTGTGCACTGAAAAGCAAGTTATTTCAGTCATTTTTAACTGACCTACTTCATGTTTAATTGAAGGGGGTGTTCCATATTTGTGTGCAATTTGAACTGAAACAGCCATCTAGAAGATTACTAGATGCAGTTCACTCCCTTGTCATCCTTAAGATCCAAATCCTTCTAGTTTTTTAGCTACACGTCTGCGAAGATGTGCAGTTTATTTCATGCAGATTATTTCAAGGTCCGCTGCCTAATGACGTTGTCCTAATAACGTCCCAATAGCCGTCCTAATAGCGTCATTCAGATCCCGCAATTCCATTTGCCATGCGGCGATCAAGGTCAAGAAAAAAACATAATTGTCCAATCATTTATATCTGGCGTTCGTGAGCGCGATTTTCAGATATAACTGCCGTTAATTGGCTCTCAATCAATGTTGTGCAAGGTACGATGGCACAATGAAACCAAGGCGTATTGCGGAGCACATTGACTACATGGAGTGCTTGTGTCGTCCAGAGCAATTTTTCTACCTAAAAGTATACCGATACTTACAAGTGGGCTTATTTCATCACATCTGATGGTGGCTTGAATACTTATTTTAAATGTTTGTGGAACATCACATTTAAAGATAATAAATATACAAATATAGATCCCATGTGTGAGAAAAATTGCGGAAAATTGTGGGCATAGTCAACCTTTGCCGTCCACGCACGTCTTTACACAGGCCCACCGTAGTGCGGTCGCCACCTGTGGATCGCAGGTGTTGAGAGCGCGCCGAGTGGGCGGTCTCAGCACGTGTGCCATGTTCGTGTCAGGACGCCGGGACACGACGCTAAGCCGCCTGGGCCGCATGCTCTGTACTTTGGCGCCATGCAGGACTGGCCCCATCAGAGCCCATTCACAGCGACGCTGCAGCGGGGTCGACAGATTTCCCTGGCATCCTGGTTAATTACGGGCCGCGCACTGCCCAGCCCGCACTCCTCCCAGCATCGCGCAAGGCTCAAGTGTGCCGCGACACACCAGTGTTCGGCGGTGTAGCATGACTAACAGCGGCATCGGAGCGCTTCGAAGGATCGGTGACCTGTTAGGCTGCACCGCAGCGCCCAAGTATGAGGCGGCGCAGTTGACATCGCCCGCAGTGTTCGTGGCTTCGGTGCGAAGTTTGCGAGGGGTGGTGTCCAGGTGGTCCAGTTCAGCAAGTCATGTTTAGTCGGTGGTTGGCGGGGAGCGACCATAACGGCATCACCGCATGGTCAGGACTCGGAATCTGGGCTGTGGAAAATATGGACCCTGCTTGGCAGCGTGCGTCGAGGAGGCGAAAGGTGGCGGGCGCCCGTTCGATCGAAATTGAACATAGCAAGTATGTGCCCGGATGATGATTTCAGCCGTCAGTTATCTCGAATTTTTTCTCAAGAGCCTTGACCTCATCGATGTCGATACGCCCACTGCTGTTTACAAATTAAAAAGATAGATCCTAAAAAAGAGGGTTATTTTCATCGACGATCTGCGATTTGCAAAAAGTTGTATGCTACCAGGCCAACAATTAACTTCACTATGCCAGATCAAAGATCATATTTTCCTGCAAATGAAACTTTTTAACTTTACACGCTCAGATGTGGGAGACAATGCCCTGATTGTTGGGCTGTTCACAAACCCAAAAATCACGATCACCGGCACTGCAACCTTTTGACCCCAGTCAGAGCGTTGAAGCAAGTGCCAATGCAGCAAGCGGGAATCAAGTTCCGTGACGCCTGATCGCAAGTTCACAACTGCACCTTAACTCCTCCACGCCCAGGCATCGCTGCCATTCTGTTCATGCGTCTCTCGACTGCGACAGGTACCCACTGAGGAAAGGACACGTGTGAACAGAAACCACAGAAGGCCTGCCACTGACATTGAAGCCATATTGAAACCACAGTACAAAATGGTGTACCTATCACAGCGCATTGACCCAAATAAACAGCAGAACATGAAAGTAGGTCACCGTCATACAAAAACACGTCATAAAGTGATCAATGTCTGGATCAATCGTACTGCGCCAGCTTTGGTGCCCTCTGTCGGCCGGCAGTGATTTCATTTTGCTACGCACCTTGTTCGCTGTCTTTTAGGTTTGCAGTCCAACAGGAATGGAGTCAAGCAACGAGCTGAAATTATTTAGGAAATCAGACATTGAAGACTAAAGCGGCGCCTCCATTTCGACACTTGGTAATCACGTTGTATTAGTTACTTCGCAATATGCACAAAGTAGGTTGTAGGCTATCACCTGGTAGCAACACGTTTAGAGGGTCTTCTAAGAACTTTTTGGTGCGGAGCACCACCAGATGCTGCCTGCATACCTCGCGTAGCCATGTTTAGTTGTTGTATTCTATCTGTTGGTGGTAAATTATGTGGATATATATATATATATATATATATATATATATGTGTGTGTGTGTGTGTGTATATAACCCTAAAAATAAGATGGGGTGTAACAGCTGAGTCGTTAGCGCATGGAGCTTCCACGCGGGCGAGCCTGGGGTCCAACCTCGGTTGCACCATTGCGTCTGAGCGCTAAATAGGCTCCATGAGGTATAAAAGGGTATAAGGTGACGTGCGTCGTGTTCCCGTTAACCCGCGCCCGGCTGGGGTTGAGATGACCCCCCCCCCCCCCCACAGTTTACTAGCACGGGTCAAATAAGAACGCTTGCAGCAACATGAAATTGTCAGTGCTCTTTTATACACTAATTTTGCGTCTTTTGTGCCAATTTTGAATTTTGATCAGCAAAGATCAGTGACCTTCTTCAGGTCAAGGGGACCAAAAACTAAAACACTTTGACCACGCATCACTTTTTTGTGGTCACTGTTGCCAGTGTTCAAAATTGCTTTAGTACTTCATGTTAGTGCATACAGGCTGCTCTTTTCATGCTTTCCAAACAGGCGAGGTCAGTGACCTGAAGCAGGTCTAAGTTCCGTAAATAATGCAATTCTGTACGCATTTTGTATAGTTTTGGTGTTTGCGTGTGAGGAAAAGAGTGCCAGCTCACATGCACAGTCATCATATGATCACAAAACCTATGGCCATCACCTACCTCTACAAGTGTATTTTGCAAAACACATGCTACGCTCAAAACAGTCAGTTTTATTGGGTAATTTTTGGTGTAGAATAAGAATGCTCCACTGAAGTCTGTTGTGATATCATTCTATTGCCAGATAAGAGCATAATAGGTCCAGCGGGCGCATGCAAGGTCATATGAGGTAATCCAAGATCAACGGCTTATGTTGTCAGTATCGGGGAGTTAGATGAAGGAGCGTGACGCGTGTGACCATCTTTCTATCGTATTTGTGAATCTGATGACGCATAAACTAATGAGCCAACGCGGCTGTTCTGAGTTGGTCACAAATGCATTACCAAGTGTCGATGGGACTTTGCTTGATGTAGACAAAAGCTATGCGATCTCGGGTATCTTTAGATGTACAACACACTGTTTCTGACCACAGAAAATAATTGGTCACTGGTCACATAGGCCCGGTTAGCATATCCAGTTTTCATTTGGATAGTATTTAAACTTGACTTAAGTTGACCTCAGATAATCTCTAGGGCAGCCCAAAACATAGTACCGTTCTCGCATGCTATCGGTAGACCAATTCTGACCGGTCGGCTGATCTAACCTGATTTCTGTGGGGAGCAGCCATGGTCGGGATGGACTCGCCAAAGTCTTAACGTCTATTTCCGCGCCCTGAGTGCCTGTTTCGCCGTGTTAGCATAGGTTTCAACGGCATCTATGAGAT